GGGTATTTAAAACATTTTATAATATTTATATATCAAATATATTTAATGTATATTTAAGTATGTTAATTTAATTGTGTTTAATTATATTTGCAAATCATATATGAAGTCTTATGTTGTATTTGTGAGATTTAGAGGGACAAATGTGGGTAATTATGTATATATGTATATATTTGTACTTGTTTAAAATATATGTGATTATAATAGTCTTCCCAACAAATATGTAAGCTTATATGCAGTTATAGTCATGGAAAAGATATGAGTAGCTAAGCCATTGTTCTACTCACAAATATATAATATCAGATTCTGCGGTTTTCTAAACTGTGGTAGACTTAGTAATTGCAGATTGAGATTTAGAAATTCAGGTTTCTAGTTGAAGGTTTTGCTACCAACTGCAATGTTGGATATATACTTCTGGAAGTTATCCTTCACTAGGGAAAAGATCTCTCTCTGTTACACTCATTCCTTTATATTGCAGCATCTGAAAAAGAGTAGTTCCAGAGCCAAGTGCTGATTCAATTTGTCCCATGGATTATATTTCTCCATATTCAGGGGTTCTACATCTGTAAGATAATGTACTGCCCAACTTCACATTCCCAGTTAACACTAGAGCCCTTAGAATTAGGTAAGATGGAATCAAAGCTGGAACAGTTTGTTGGGCTTCAGCCATCAAAACTTGTCTCATTAAGTATTTATAAGTTTAAATAAGACAACAGCTCGTTATCAGTCTGTGTGCCATGTTCCATTAGAACAACTGAAAAGAAGACTGCATCCCTGCTTCCAAATCAAAGATGGACTCCCAGTGAAAATGTTGGGCATGTCTAGACAATGGGATGCTGGACTATCTGACATTGTAACAGCAGTGTCAGGCACACTTAAATAACAGACCGATGGAATTGTAACTTGTTGTGAAGGACTATACTGTTGTAACATTATGACGAAAATCAGTTGGTGTGGGAGGCAAATTTTGGGGGAGGATCCTAGACCCTACATAATTCTACCATAAAATAAAAAAAAACTCAATGGAAAAAATATATATGCAAAACTTCCAAATTCCAAAACTTAAGTAAATATAAAAACATGTCAGTGATCCTCTCAGATTATGTGTTTATCAGAATGAATAGAATTACCATTTTAGAAGTTGTTAGGGAAACTAACACTTTGGACACAAGTTCTTTAGGAAAATGGCATCTCATTTAAAAATACAAATTAATCAAACTTATTCATTTTATATAAAAATTAACAGCCATGTGAAATGTTAGGAAAGAGAACTCAGATACTGCAGTCTACACTTCCCTGTCATCTGGACTTCCAGCTCTGCCTCGGTCGATCGTCCAGCAGGGACGCTGAACACCCTGCAGAGACACTGAATAATCGACGGAGATCTGGACACTTTATGCCACTGGCAAGACAACGGTCCTCCTTGCCGCCAAACTCAGGGCTTTGCTGTCACAGCCACCAGGACCACTTTTGCTGCATGCTTCTTCCCTTTACATCCTGCACACTCCTGCATACTGGGACCCTGATTTCTTTAAAACAAAAACAAAACGAAACAAAATTCTGCAATACCCTTGTCACTCTGTATCTTCCTTACGCTGTGTGTGTGTTTTCTGGATAACCAGATTATTATTTGTTCACTGGTGTGTTAGCACACTAGAATGTAAGCTCTATTACAGCAGGATATTTGTCATTTGCCAGGATATCCTTAGTAACCAGAAGTTTGTGACATATAATTGATGTTCAGTAAATGTTTTCTAGATGGATGAAAAACTGACTTTAAAAACATTTTACTGTGAACTTCCAAACTGCTGATCCTCTTAACAGTTTCTTCCAGCATCATCTCATGTTATGAAGCCTGTCGTGATTTCTCTATGTGTGATCCTCATTATTTGCATAAAGATTGGCAGTCCACCCTGGCTTTATTGCCTCCGGCTAAATTCAGAAAGCGCTTGTAATTTCACTTGGTTAAGTACTGTGGTAATATACCCAGTGATCTTCCCGTATCCTGCATAAGGGATCTGGCCAGTATATGAGCATGAATTAAATATTGCTCTATCACAGTAACTTCTGAAATGAACTATTTTTTCATAAAGGAGGCATAGTATAAAATGTATCATTATAGAAACTAAACAGCATTCAAAATGGCTACACACAAAGTTGCTGGCTTCAATAAATAAACATGTTCTACAGAGACTTGTCAGGAAAGTAAGACATAGCAAAAAGAAAGAATTACTTGAGCTTCTGTAGGAAAATAGTCCACAGCCATTTGAATTTTGATGAAGTATGAATTGCTATGTCTTTATAAGGCAGTTTAAAATAGCCATCAAAATTAAATAGCTTCCTATCTTTTCACTGGCATTCCAACTTACAGAAATGTATTATATAACGATTTTCCTATTACATCTGGAAAAATTCAAAAACCTATAAATTTGTGGTTTAGTTGTGCACTGCAATACAGACAGCCATTCCATAGAACAGTGCAGTCACTTTTTAAGAATGAATGTAGATGTGGTTTTATGACATTCTATTAAATGAAATGAGAAAGTCATTAAAAAGAAAAGACTGCACATATACTTGTATTACATATTGAATGGGAAATTCCAACCAATATATGTGATGTGATCCCACAATCAAGTTTATACCACTCTTATCGATATTGGGGATAGTGGTAAGCAGAACACACAATGCCCTCACCCTTGTAGAAATTATATCCTAATTGAAAACAAAACACGTAAAGATTTGATGATAGTAGCAATAGAGATATGAAAAAAATCATGACAAGGAATCAGGAAGGGTGAGGATCACAAAAAGCCTCATTTGGGATTTGATATTAGAATAGAGAACAAGAAGGCAAGACAGAAACGGCAGGGAGAAATAAGACTGTGAAGCATACGGGAGCAGGAAGACCCTGAAATGATGCAGAAACAGCAACATAGTGTGAGTGGCGAGCAATGATCATGTGGGAAGGTAGGATGTTAGGTATCCACGGGGCAGCGTAGACGGCATTTTATGGACATGCTAACAATCTGGATTTTGTTTATTTCTTGAGATTCATTTTGATGAAATCTCAAGAAAGTGATTTTCTGATTTGTGTCTCTGGTAATTGGCAAGGCTATTACACAGAATATTCTGAGGAGGAAAGGACAAGATGCAAGAACAATGTGGTGATTACATTGGTCTTGTTGATTGATGCAAGTGACTCTCATTGGGATTGCAGCAGCAGTAGAGAGGATGTGGTGTGATCAAAATTGTGATGTATTTTAAACGTAAAGCTAAGAAAATTGCTGAATGGATTATGGATGGGTGTGATAGAGAAAGGAATCAAGGGTGATTACACAGTGGTAGGCCTGGGCAACTCAGTGTACATGTCTTACACTAAAGGCACAAGACTCTGGTAGTCAGTGGTAACAGATGTAAGGTTAGAGTTTTGCCATTGGTGCATTAACATTGAAATATCTACTGGATCAATAAAGTTATACACAATCAATTCCAGACAGTCAAGTATGGAGAATGGTTAGGAGTAGAGACATACATTTTGGAGGGCTTAAACTAGAAAGTAAGTTAGAAAAATTTTCAGAGTTCCAAGGGCTAAAACATGGGGACTTGCCTACATCTAGAAGCATAAATGGTCCTGGAGAGAAACAAACTAAGAAACTAGCAACAGGAAGTGTGGATCACAGAAACCAAGTGAAGAAGTGTGTACAAATAAAAACCATCATTTCCGAACCACTAGATATCATCTTCCTCGAGGGAAGAGATTGTAGATACCAACATTTACTATCGCTGTTTGAATATTTTCTAATATGCCTCTGTTGCCTTTGTAAAATTACAATGAGAAGGTTAAGAGAAATAGAAAATAGAAAAAGCTAATGGATACATTGAATGCATGGGATACATCAGCATTAAGTCTGCATATATAAACTGTTCTGTCTTTGCTCAATTTGCAAGGATTATTGTGACCAGAAAGAGAAAAAATCATCTCTTACGTGGCTTATGTGAAAGTATACTTATGCACATGTTTTAGAGATTTATGAGAATTGGAAAGTCTGCAAAGTATTTCAGAAATTTGGAAAAATAGAATCAAAAATACAAGTTCATTTCATGCACAAAAAATGTAAACCCATGAAAATCAAAGACATATATAGAATATGTTGATGGGAATGAATAATAGCTTGTCTAGCCCATTAAAATTGGATTTTTCCGTAAAACCAAATAAGGTTTTTGAGATTGATTTTTATACTATGAATAGAATTCTGGTCTGTGCACTTCAAAATGGCCCTAGTAAGTTTCTCTCAACTTACTGTTTCCTGGGGACTGAAATGAAAGCGATTATCAGCATAATTCACAGTGCAGATGGAAGCACTCCCTCTACTTGTCCAAAATCCTACCACGGAATCAGTAGAACAGGAGATGGCTATGTAACATGAAGTTAGGGTCATACTTGTTCTACATAGCATATATCCCTTCTCAAATGAAATAGCATGCTACAATTTTCACAATGGAAAAAAAAACATCAAATAGAAGACTACTACTTCTGTTTGAGAATATTGCTGATGTGTGATGGTGTCAACTGCGACATTTTTCCATACTTAGTTCAGAGTACCTCTTAAAAAGACATGCCATTTTCTTTTAGCTCTATCCCTGTGCCTTTGGAATATTCTAGATTAGGAGAATCTTGTTATATTATTTAACATCTTTCCATGTGACAACTCAATGCCAAAGGCAAGATTTCACTGCCATTGTTAGCTGCAATAATATAGTGGAATTCATTGAGTCTTGTGCAGTCTCTGCAATTGCAGTTATGATGTTTCTTCCACTGTGACACCTTTTAGCCAAAATAAACGTTGGGGGCAAACTATGTAATTAAGCAAATTGTTCTCTTGGAGCAGTTTTTCTAATTCGGTTTTAATTATGTGAAAGATTAACTGTTTGTACAATCAGTTGGCATTCAGGAGAAAACTGTTTACATCAAACTTAGCATTTCTTTTTATCTCTTCTGTCAGAGTCAGGCCACAAGAAGTTAAAAAGTACCATACAGAGAAGCACAGAAACAGGCATGGCAGCTGAAATGAGGAAGATGGTACGGCAACCGAGTCGAGAGTCTACTGATGGCAGCATCAACAGTTACAGTTCTGAAGGAAAGTAAGTGATGTCAGCGTATCTGGATGGCCTATGGCCAAGGAAAACACAAAGCTCCCATGAGTTACCCTACAACCAATGGTTCAGCCTTCCACTGCAGACTATCCTGACCATGGAACTGATGACTTAGATCTTTTAAAAAGATGAAGAAATGCTGAGTAAATACATTTCAACCACCGTTCATCAGTTAGTAGAGTACAGGAAAGTCCCTTATTGAATATATAGTTCAAATGTCACATTTAATATATTCTTTCATATAAGAAATTCAGATTCTGGTTGGCCTTATCGCCAAACTCCGTTTCAAAGTTCAGAAGAAACTGAGTTTTCATATTTCTACATGTCTCCAAACTGTCTAGAACCTCAAGCAAATCTAACACTCTCATACATATAAGAAACTTATATTTATTTGTTTTGAAAAACATCCCCTATGTTTGCCTTGGAGGAAAAAAGCCACAACCTCTATTCATCAATTTTTTTTCTTTCATTATAAAATTTTAGTTACTTATGAAAAAAATTGAGTCTTTGTTTTGTTCGCTTGGTTAATTTTTTAACCATTTCGTATAAGCCCTTACGTTAATAAGTCATTACACTCTTGTGTAAAGATGGACAGTGTACAAATTTTATGTAATTATTCACTCATTACCAGTCATTTCACTCATTTATTAACATAGTATTCAGAACCTTTTCTGCTTTTACTAATATTTTCCTGTTTTGAAAGTGAATAAAATCATATCAAGTTAGCTTTTACTACATGCTTCTGCATTCCTGGGATGGGTAGATCATTGTCCGTTTGACTGAGTGATTGCTGTGCATGTTTCCAGCAAGATATAGCTGAGGACAGAAATCAGCAGACATGAAAGTTAGGGAGAAAAACCTGCTGAAAAAAATACTAATATTTGGTGAAGTAGTATGAAGCATATGAAAATCAAAGACTGGATATGTTTCCTGATATGATTAGCAACAAATCAAAATTTGCCTCTATCCTGGGATAAACCGCTTAGTTTCTCATAGACTTATTTTCAGTTTCTGGATAGGATAAAGATGTGTGTCCTAATCCTCTTGATTGTGAGGAAAGGCTATGCATAAAGCACAGTGGAGGCATAAAATCCCATTCAAAAGCCCATTCTAATAACAGTTCCTGAATTCCAACCAGAAAAATTGTCCTCATTACCCAGAGACAATTACATCAATAAACAAGAGAAGGCTGAGTATGCTGAACCTGGAGCACCTGCATCCATGTCAGAACTCTTAGTTTGAGTCCTGGCTTCCCATCCTGCTTCCTCCAGTAATGGCCCAAGTGCTTGCGTTCCCGCTGCCTACAAGAGAGACGAAGATGGAATTCCTGATTTCAGGCTTTGGCTTAGCCCAGCCCTGGTTGTTGGGGGATTTTGGAAATGACCCTGCAAACACAAGATTGCCATTTGAGTTAGCTGTGTCAATCTTTAAAAAAAAAAAAAAAAAGAAGAAGAAGCGATCACCACTCTTGTGCAGCTTAAATACAGTCACACTTTTGTAACAATTTGATATAATCAACCAATTTCCATTTGGGTTAATGACTCAGGTAATTTAAATATTGAACTCATTCATAGATGAATAAATTGAATATGTTTTATAAGTAAGAACTTACACAATAGTATTTATTGAAGGAATTATTAGGCACTTTAAAATGTTTTGAATTAATGCCACTTGTTCATTATAAAAAATCATATTTTACATGAAAAGTACATTTAGATAAGGATTTAGATTCGGCTTTTTAAATATCCAGAATGCTAGGCATACCAAAAGCTATCACCGAAGACTCTAGAATACGACATCAGAGGCTAAACTGAAAGTTTAGACCTCTTTTCCAGTCACTGTTGACCCGCAGATACTTGGCTGATGGCAATCCAGACAATCAAGTAACAGGTATGTAAGGCAAACAATTCTCAAGAGATCTAAATTTTGCTTTCCTTGATTTTTGTTCTTTCCCTCATAGCTTAATATTTCCCGGAGTGCGACTAGGGGCTGACAGTCAATTCAGTGATTTTCTTGATGGACTGGGACCGGCCCAGCTTGTTGGCCGGCAGACCCTTGCCACGCCTGCGATGGGTAAGAACTCACTACTTGCTCAAGACTTTTTCAAATGCTGTAATAATGAAGTGAGAGGTAACATTTTAGCTAATGTTGTTGATACATTGTTATGATTGGTAATATTACAGAAAATGAAATTATTCAAAAATTTTGCTTTTCAACTTTGGTTTTAAAACTTTAGTTAGAATTTAACAGTTCGGTAGAGTTTGTACAGACAACACTAAGGAGATAATATTCCCTTCTTCCCTCTCTTGTTTCCACTCTTGTTCCCTTCCCCTTTTCAAGCTTTCCTTCTTATGCATTTCTTTTCTTCCTTCCTTTTTCTTGTTTCCACGATAAGGTATTTTAAAATGACATTAGAGTAAAAAGACTTCATGCATCATCAAGTAAGAATTTTAGCAAGCAAAAAGACCCTAGATCAGTAGGAATACAGGTGATAGCTAAAAACAATAATTGAATGGAAAACATGCTGGTTTTAATGATTTGTGATTGCTTTAAAGTCTGGTTTTTTTTTTAAGATCTATTTATTGTTATTGGAAAGGCAGACGTACAAAGCTACTGTGTTTTTAACCAAATGATACTTTGATTCATACATACAATTTTTATGTTAGAATCGGGGCAAACATGCCTGTCTCCTCAAACATTATCCTTTATGGCGTAAACATTCCCTTTCTCCAGCGTTATTTTAATAATATGCAGTGCATTATTATTCTCTGTAGATACTTTAGTGTTCACTGGAATGCCAGAACTACATTCTTGTATCATAACTGTAACTCAGTCATGAATCTTTGGATTACAGGAAAACCCTGTCAGAACAAAGAATCTAGCACAGGACCAAATATAGGGTGAAGGTGATATTTTAAGCATAAAAAAAAGATGTTACAACCTACAAAATATTTCATTTAACATTTTAGCATCTATTGTGACTTTATCTTTCTCTTGAAAAAGGAGGGCAAGTGTTTGACCTAGTGTTGACACCAGGGTTGGCTTCACTGCAGCATCCACATCCCACAGCAGAGTGAATGCTGAATGTAGCATATGGGCACAGTGGAAGTTGCTGGACCCTTGTAGGAGCTAAGATCCTTGTCCCCTACGTCCTTGGCATTGGCTACAGTTATCTGAGCTTACAGATGCCTTGCAGAAGCAAAATAAAGCATCTCTAATAGAAATGATAATATCCTGAGCACTCAGTTTTTTCTAAGGTTAATATTTTAAATTGGACAGCTTCTCCTTTGGTTAGTGCACAAAACTTGTGCCTGCGTTTCTGCTGGACCGTGGTCTTTTTGTTTGCTGGACTATATTTAGTGAAACCAGTGAGCCATTGACTATAATGTACATTTTAAAATGTTGTCTCAAAAATAGCAAACATAGGGCCTGGTGTGATGGCGCAGTGGATAAGGTTCTCGCCTTGAAACCCGGGATCCCATATGGGCACCGGTTCTAATCCCGGCAGCCCCGCTTCCCATCCACCTCCCTGCCTGTGGCCCAGGAAAGCAGTCGAGGACAGCCCAAAGCCTTGGGACCCTGCACCCACGTGGGAGACCCGGAAGAGGCTCCTGGCTTCAGACTAGCATAGCATCGGCCATTGCAGTCACTTGGGGAGTGAATCATCATCAGACAGAAGATCTTCCTCTCTGTCTTTCCTCTCTGTATATCCGCCTTTCTAATAAAAAAAATTTAAAAAAAAATAAATCTTTTAAAAAAAATAGCAAACATAAATAGATAACTATAAATATGAAAAAGCATCAAAAATTAATTGGAGACACAGATGAACAGGAATTTTGGACGGGAAGTTAGAGACAGAGAAGAAAGTGTCATGTCCCACAAGCGTGTGGTTGAAGCTCCTCACAGGGAAAGAGAGTATAAAACAAAAGCTACGTTTAAAAATAACATGGTTGAAAATTTTCAAAACTGGAAAATAAATGTCAAGCTTAGCTTTCAGAAGTCCCTGTGAAAACCCCATGCAAAAAGAAGAGCAGTATTATAGATAGTATTATCCCAACCAAATTGGATTTGTTATGAATGTGCAATTATATTTAATAACCATTTGCTCACACTAACACAGAAGAAGAAAAGGCTTTCTTAATATTTGAAGAAGATATTTGTGGAAGAAATATTTGATAAAAGTCAGACATGAAATTTACTTAATTTGATAAAGTGTCCATAGAACAAATGCTTCACTGTGTGATCATACACAAAATTGGCCAAAAATTTTTAAATATTTTACTCACAAAAAGCCACAGGCTGTCAGAAATGCACATCTGCATACATACACTGCAGTTAGAAGTTCAGAGCAATGAGTTACCACCCGGGATGCCAGCACCCTGTAATCCAGAGCCTGGCTTTGTGTACTGGCTCCACTTGCAATTCAAGCTTCCTGCTGATGCTCAGCCTAGCAGGCAGCAAATGAGATGGCACAAGTGCACAGGTCCCTGCTATGCACAGGGCAGACCCAGACGGACTTTGCAGTTCCTCACTCTGGCATGCCCCAACCTCAGCTGTTGCAGGCATTTCAGGATTGAAGCAGTGCATTGACAGTTTCTCTGGGTGTGTCTGTGCGTTTTGCTCTGCATTTCAAATGAAGTGCTTTAATACATGACATTTTTAAAGGAAAGAGAATTGTTAAAGAAATAACGTTTTAATTAATTGGATGAAACAGAGCAAAATGCCTGTGAGATCCAGCAATATCATGCCTAGGCGTATATAATCTTAAGGCACTCTGGATTTTTTTGGCAGCGTTTTTGGTAATGGTGCCGGATTAGGAGAGAAAGACACACAGTTGGAAAACGACATCTTCACACAGCAGAATATATAGGTCAGTTAAAAAGAATAAACTAGACTACTGCACATCATGCTGGATTGATATCTTAAGAAAATATTGACACCATGGAAAATAATTAAAGTTTTTAAATTAAAGAAAAAACAAAAATACTAGGAGAAAAAGTGAATGCTAAGTAATACCACTTATATTTAATGCTTAAAATTGGGGGATATATTTGAGATAGACAAATAATGGACAATTATTTGAGATAGACAGTAAATTAAAAAAAAAAAAGAAAAATAAAGCAAGTAAGAAAACTTAACTGGAGCTACAGCTGTTAATGTTAATCTACCCATTAAATGAAATGCCACTGTACTCCTAGATCTGCATTGTGAACTGCACAAAATTTGTTCACCTTATATAAATAAACTAATTTTAAACTTAAAATTTTATGAGTGAGTGAAAAATGGGGCAAAATATGTGTACATGGATTTATACATGAATTCTAGTAAATCTGAATGTAAGAGTTGAAAATTCTAAATATTTTCAAGAAATAAGAATGTCAGGGCTAGTACCATGGCATTGCAGGCTAAACCTCCATCATCCGGTCCTTGTCCTGGCTGATCCAATTTCAGTCCAGCTCCCTGCTTGTGATCTGAGAAAGCAGTGGAAGGAATTCCAAGGCCTTATGCCACTGCACACAAACGAGACCCAGAAGAAGGTCCTGGCTTCAGACCAGCTCAGCTCCAGCCATTGTGACCATTTAGGAAGTGAACCAATGGATGAAATATTTCTATCTCTTTTTTGTCTCTCCATCACTTCAAATTCTCTGAATGTAAAGTAAAATAAAATAAATCTTAACTTTTTTTTTTGAAGAAGTAAAAAGGGAAGAGTCTGACATTGTGGCATAGCAGTGAAAGCTACTGCCTGTAACGCTCATGTCCCATATGGGTATCATTTCATGTCCGTGCTGCTCCACTTCTGATCAAGCTCCCAGCAGAAAATGGCCCAAGTACTTGGACCCCTGCACCAACACAGAATACCAGGAGGAAAGACCTGGCTGCTGGATTACCCTTTGGGAAATGGACCAGCAGATAAAGACCCTCTCTCTGTCTGTCTCTCTATCTCTTTCGCCTTTCAAATAAAAAAAAAAATCTTTTTTTTTAAGGAAATGGAAACTTTTTCTCAACTCATTGTAGTAATTTTAATTTTATAACTGTTCATTAGCTGTATAAGCCTTCCTAATAGCAAAAGAAGCATTAACTAATGTAAAATTTTAACCATCTGATTAGAAAAATTGAACATTTTATTAATATTATTATTAGTAGATATGGGAAATAAGAAAGCATATTTTTTCTGATTATGGTGCAAACTGATAAACCTCTCTGAAGGATAGTTGGCAATATGCAAAGAAGTTTTAAATATCCTTACAATTACATCTGACAATGATACGTATGGGAATTCAGTGCTCAAGAAATAATCAATGACCTTTGACCTATGTAATTCTTGGAAACCTATGTGTTATAGTGTTGCTTAATATTCGTGTTACCATTCATTACTATTAGTATTAAATAATGTTATATTCATTATAATGCAGCAATGTAAATAATCTCTATTTCCAGTAACAGGACTGCTGAAGTAAGTAGTGACATGTCCATTTCAGTGGTCCATTTGGTCAGTAAATGTACGGTCACAATTGGCAATGACACTTTAAAACATTTGTGAAAATTGGATTGCAAAGATAATTGTACTTTGGGGCTAGGGTTGTGAGATGAAGGGTTATTTCATCATTTGGGGAGTGCATTAGCAGAATAAAGGTCACTCTGTTCCTCCCTGTCAATCTGCCTTTCGAATAAAATTTTAAAAATTTAAATTATATTTTACACATTTTTAAAATAATATGTATGAGAAATTTTGACGTCCATTCACATGAGTGAATTTCAAAGTTTTGCACCAAAATAGCCCCCTTTAACTGCATTTTCTGTGAGGTTTGAAGCACTTTCATATATATAAAATTTCTAGTAATTCATCAAACTATTAATGGCAGTTTACATAATAGAAAAGCAGATAATTACAATTTTTAGTAAGAAACTAAAACAAGTAAATACACTGTGTAATATATGACACACTGAACAATGTAAGAAAATGCCTTTGAATCCAAGAACTATTTAAACATTTGGTGGTGTTATAGTTAGTGATTTGTAAACTGATCTGCAAATTTCTTAAGATGGATTAGTCCCGGAAGGAAAATATTTCAAGATTTGATTTTGAATCTACAAAAATAACTTGAATTGGGGTGTCTTAGTATTAAAATTTTAATCAAGATAAACATAATGCTTTTCAGGGAGACAATTTGAGTCTGCTTTGAGCTATTTATTTTTTAACTTGATGTAACTACAAACAAGTTGAGTCATTCTTTCTCTCCACCTGCAGGTGATATACAAATTGGAATGGAGGATAAAAAGGGCCAGCTGGAAGTTGAAGTTATTAGAGCACGCAGTCTCACACAAAAGCCTGGTTCCAAATCCACACCTGGTAAGGAGAATAGTACTGCATTTGATCCGTAGAATTCAAAAAGGGCAAGACTCAGAACATTTGTTTTGTTTAAATTTTTATACTCGGCTTTGCAGCTTTTTTGTGTTGTTTTTTGTTGAGACTATGAAAATAGATCTAGGTAGTTGTCCTGCACCATTATTCTTTCAGAGGATACTAGCAAGAGTATTGCTGTGTTTTTAAAAGTTTGATTATGACTGTTCACTGTGACATTTTTTCTATAAATAAGAAAAAGGATTTAGTTGTGTGAATAAAAAAAATGAGCTTTAAGGCATAATCTGAGTTGTATAGAGCTACAACCTAGTTAAATCTTAAGATAACTTTCTATGAGTTTACTTGAAATGAGGAAAATGACAGTAATGGTGACACCATATTTTATAGCATGCGTTTTGTGGCTCACTGAAAACTCTAATTTAAATAAGCTGTGGTGCAAGATTTCAAAAAAAGCAACTCTGATTCTCAAGGAAGACATTTTCTAATAAAATCCAACTGACTATGAGAAATAACTTCCTTCATACTATTTTTCCAGCTCCATATGTGAAAGTATATCTTTTGGAAAATGGGGCCTGCATAGCCAAGAAGAAGACCAGAATTGCACGGAAAACCCTTGATCCTCTGTATCAGCAGTCGCTGGTTTTTGATGAGAGTCCACAGGGTAAAGTTCTGCAGGTCAGCGATGATTTAGCATTTTATATAGTAATATGTAGGTTATCCATTGACAAATGGTCAAACAGAAAAAAAACAAAATACGGTAAAAAACAAATGTAGTATCAAATGCCTTAAGAAGAGAAAAAGGACTTTGATTTACAAGGCAAACACTGTGTTGTATTGAAAGTATCTGAGGGGTGGTAGTCATTTGTTCTAGTGATCAGGATCCCTGCTTCCCATCTGAAGTGCCTGACTTGAATTCCTAGCACTCCTTCTGGGCTCCGTCTTCCTAACAGTGCAGGTCCTAAGGGGCAGCAATGATGGGTTGAGTAGTTCCATACAAGCCACTCATGTGGGGGGAGGGGCGGCTAGATTTGATTCACTGCTCCTGCTTCAGCCTGACCCAGCCCTGGCCATTGCAGGCATTTGGGGAAGTTTCTCTCTCTCTCTCTCTCTCTCTCTCTTTCTACCCCCTGCCACCTCTCTCTCCAGCCCTTCCTCCTTCCCGTCTCTGAATAAGTATTTGGTGGCTTTAAGGGAAAGCATGGTTTTCACTTTTTAGTGTTTTTACTTTCTTCTCACTATCCCCTCTACTGTTGTCCTATTTCTCACCCTTCCTCTCTTCTCAGTAGGTATATAGATATCTGGATACATAGGGAACTTAATCATGGGAATGATGGTGCTTGATAGCATTGTTGATTGAGCATCATCAAATACCAGATGTGGGATACAAAGAGAAAGATGAGCACACAAACCAGGAAGTAATGCTGATTGAATGCCAGACGTGTTGCTAGGTACCTGCATGTATTACCTCTTTTAAAACTTTCAAGCCATTATATGCCATAAATATCATTTATCCTCATTTTAACTTGTGTTTGAGGGTTATAGAGATTTGTCAACGTTACACAGGCATAAACATTCACCATTCTTTGTTCTGTGTAGCAGGTGAGTTGATCCAATAAAGAAGCTTCAGTGAAGATTAATACGGGAGCATTATAATTGAAGATGTGTTTGACTCCAACAGGAGTTGATCCACATCGTGATATTTCTTTGGAATTACTGAATTCACTGGTGCGCTAATGATCTAATCAAACCAAAAATAGCAGTCAAGTCTTCAAAAGATGACAGCTTACAATTAATTTCGTCCCTGCTCATTGGCAGAAAATTGGACGCATTCACTCCTTACACATCTCTCATGCACAAACTCCCTTGTACACTAAGTTACATTGCCTATTTTGCCCAAGTTGTATTGCATAAATACTAATTTTTGTGTTTTGCATCATCCTTTGCATTCATTACTAGATATGAGCTATACAAGAAAAGTGCTGCATTTGTATATAAATAATTTACATATTTCTTGGGTAGATTTCCTGCCAGCAGGCCTAAAGACCACCAAGTGAGTGAGGCAACCATATTCTTTGGCTGCAAAACCGCTAGGGACAGTCTAATAGAGCATACCTGATTACTGTAAACAGAGTACAACTTATATACACTAAGAAAAGAGGAGTGCAGAAGGGCGGTCCTGACAGTCCCCCCCCCACCCAACAGTGACACTGTAATTGGCTAGAAGGCATGTCTATCTGTTTAAGCCCTCCAGTCATAGCACAGGCACGTTCTACATGCAGGGGTGGGAGCTGTGTCTCACGTCATGGACAGGTAGGCCATGGGTCGCACCCACCAGGCAGCAAGCAGAGATCCAGGAGCAATCTCCCACATGTATTTATTTCCTTAACACAACTTATGTAAAAAATACCCTTCATTGACTAAGAAAATTCTGCCATACCTGAAAGTTACTAAGAAGTGGCTCTGGGGCCCAGTGCAGTAGCCTGGCAGCTAAGGTCCTCCCCTCTCATATGCCGGGATCCCATAAGAGCTCCGGTTCGTGTCCAGATGTTCCACTTGCCATCCAGCTCCCTGCTTGTGGCCTGGGAAAGCAGTCGAGGACGGCCCAAAGCCTTGGGACCCTGCACCCGCTTGGGATACAAGGAAGAAGTTCCTGGCTCCTGGCTTTGGATTGCCTTAGCTCTGGCCACTGTGGCTGCTTAGGGAGTGAATCTGCGGCCAGAAGATCTTCCTCTTTGTCTCTCCTCCTCTCTGTATATCTGCCTTTCCAGTAAAAATAAATAAATCTTAAAGAAAAAAAAAAAGTGGCTCTGAGCACCTTAAATATTGGCTAATTCTTTTTACTCAGGCCCATTTTTCAGGGTGATATTCTTTTCCCAACCTTCACTGACTGTTCCAATGTTCCACCCTTTACAGAATATGTTTTTGAACTCTGAATGTAAAAGAAATAAGTGCAAGTTTCACTTCATTTTTCTGTCTCTGCAGGTGATTGTCTGGGGGGACTATGGCAGAATGGACCATAAATGCTTCATGGGTGTGGCTCAGATCTTGTTGGAAGAACTCGACTTGTCCAGCATGGTAATCGGATGGTACAAGTTATTCCCTCCGTCGTCCCTGGTGGATCCCACACTCACTCCCCTGACCCGCCGAGCTTCCCAGTCGTCTCTGGAAAGTTCAACTGGGCCCCCCTGCATCCGATCATAGTGAATTCATCCCACACTTTTTCCATTCAGAGTCTACCTTTCAGTCTAAGAATCTGAACCAGATATTTAATGATCAAAAGCATTGTTGGAGACAGACAATCAACTTGTGTTTTGTCAGTAGTGGTTTTTCAGTGTGGCCCCATTGTTGTTTAAAATATGGCTTCATATGACAGAACAAGGCAATCTATCCAACTACAAGTGAGAATCCACATGCTAGTGAGAGCCGCTGATGCTTCTAACAAAAAAAAAGAGGAAACTTAAAACACACACACACACACACACACACAAATTGAACAAACTGGAAACTCTCACTCTGAAAAGTTGTGTTTTACATGTTTTTTGCAAAGACCAGAATCAGTGTTATCTCCCTGGTAGTTGAGAAGTTTGTTTGTTGTCTTGTATGTTTTGTTTGTGTGTTAATTGTTGGGTTTTGGTTTCTTCAGTTTTTTTATCTGTTTTCTGAGTTTTTGATTTCACCACATATTTGTTCTTTGCACAAGATTTCTGGCTGTGTCATGATGGGCCTCATGATGCCTACAGAGACTCTTCCTTTCTTTTTCCAAAAGCACCCCCAAAAAGGGCTGAAGCAGTCTCTGTGGCATCCCCACCCCCTTCAAAAAGTGCTCAGCAGCTGGACAAGTGAGGCCCATGGCAAGGGAGCCCCGTCACCCTTTTCGGCAATGTTCATTTTACAGTTCTTCAAGGTGTTTTGATTTGGAAAACAAAAGTTGGTTTGGAAAGGCCAAAAGTTTTTCTCTAAAATGAATCTCCAGTCACTTTTTTAGAATCAAGAGCGTATCTTTTTTGCATTCCAGCACATTGATTTGTATTTTCCACCATTTTGCGAGTCGATCTGCAACTAATGCTGGGGACTAAAACTCCCCCGACAATTGTGCTCCTTCTAATGCCTTTTTCTTCCTGTTATCAAACGAAAGTACACTCCTGTCGGTAAACCATACATCTGACTTCCCAAAATGGTGACTAGGGATGGATTTGAGCCTAAGACACTCTCAGCTATGCCCAGGCTTCTCAGCCATGCCTCAGTGTAGACGCACCCATCTGCCCTGGACAGAGCATGGTGTGAGCTGTTCAATATTCCACTGGAAATTCCAGTTGAAATATTCTGCACTAAACACATGTTTTTATCGAATTTTAGTTTACATTTCTTTGAGACTGATGCAAGCACAAAGCTTGATTTTATAATGCAGAGAATCTTACTTTTGTGGGGGTGGGGAGGGGAATAAAACAAAGTCAAACTTCAATTTGCATCTTCTTTGTTTGAGTTCTCCTTGGCCTTGAACTTCCCTCGTGACATTCTGTATATGTGCTACCAACTGCAGACTCCGCAGGTGCATCCATGTGTCCCCCTCCTTTTCTGAGTCACTCGACTTTTGTGATTACACAAATAGAGCAGCATGACCTTGACCTGTTCGAAGCTGCATGCACATTTTGTAAAAAAAAATAATAATAAATAAATCAAATAAAAAATTTAAAAATAAAAAAATGAAGAAGAAAAAAGATAAAAGGAAAAGAAAATAAAAGGTTATTTAACACTGTATGTTAGTTTCACCTAGGCCAGCTTGTATGTTGCATGTACTTGTACAGTTTGCTCGTTAATTACTCTACTGAAATAACCAAGAAATCTAAGCCATCCATTTTTGTTATAGACATTTTGCAGGTTTTAGCCAGACTCATTCTGTGGGTCTGTGGTGAAATGTCTATAGATGGACTTTATTTTTTACCCTCTGGAAAACACGTGACGTAGTATGGACCAAATTCCTTCTAATAAATATTTTGGTGTAGATTCCTACTGTGGGGCTGTAACACATGTAGACACTGTGTACACACTAGGTTTTAATCCATAGACATACTGCCTGTACCAAGTGAATTATTTATTATTATTTACACATGCCAGAATTATCTGCCCATCAGTCCACAGGGCATAGATTGACCACTGCTCACCACGCCGAGCAGGAAGAACTGAAGCATTGGTGCACTTCTACTAGATTCCGTTCTGTCTTAGTGGCCAACAATCAAATGATGATAATTGGGTAGTATCTTTCTATTTTGACCACTTGTCTTAACACTCCCCTGTGCTTTTAAATGAACTTTCAACTCATGTATGTAAACATGTTTAATAAAATTTACTTTTCATGTCAGTAGCCATCTGTGTTCTATGTTTTGCCAGGTTATCATTGTGGGTCCTACGGTGCAAAACGGGAGCCAGCCTACGGGAAGGGGAGGTTGGGACTTGATGTCTGCTGTGGGCATTCGACTTGCTTTGTCATTGCACTATATATGTCTGAATCGACAGCCCAAAGGGTTCTTGGCATCACAGATGAGTTTTCACTGTCTAAGTAAGCACATGACTATACTTCTGAAAAGTGGCATTATTAAAAACAATAAATCTCAGTAAGAACCAAATGGAAGGTTGTTTTTCTGCTGATGTTTGAATATGCTAATAAAAGAGACAACTCTTGTCCAGTTGCCGAATGATTTCAAGTTATGTGACCTATCAGAATAATGATTCTGTGCCTTTCATCACAATATCTGGGTTCCCCTTTCCATTTTCTCCTCCTGAACCCTTGGCAAATTTATTGAGGCTTGTTTTGGGGTAGGCTAACTTAAAAATATGTGGTCCATTAATTCTTCAGTCATCTTCAATGAAATATTAATGAATAAACATTTTCCCAAATATGGATAGATAAGCCACAAAGAGACATTGTTTTCTTAACTTTTTTTCTTTCATTCTTTATAAATATTTAGTTATATGTTTCACTGGCATCACTCTTTTCCAAACACGTGGCAAACACTAATTTCACCATGGATTTTGGTAAAATCACTGTTGAATTAACTAGTTTCAACTTCCTCAGAGCTTCCAGCATTTTATAGACCTCACTGACTCTGGCTTTATGGGACAATATAAACAGAGTTAAATCAATATCAAATTTGAGACAATAAAACAATTTGGCACATGACACCCTTAGTTGTTTATAGTTTTGAAAACCACTGTCTGAATTTTACCCTATTAAATCATCCAGTTGTTTGGTCTACAAGACACAAGATTATTTGTCAGACTGGGGTAGTAACAGGCAGAAATAAGTGATCAGTGTAGTTTAAAACAAACTGTCAAAAATAAAGCCGTTTAATGCACATGCATCTAAGATAGCACATAGCTTGGCTGGGGGCAGGAGACCAGCCTGCCACTGAAACTGGAGACGGCTTTAGAATTGTCTAGACAGGAAAAGAAAAGCAGTAATCTCTTCAAATCAGGGAAAGCTATGTGTTAGGATTTCAGGGCCCACAAAAAAGGGTAACTGAGGGCAAAGTGATTTTTGTTAAGTCTTCCTGGCTTCTTTCATACCCTGGCAACTTAGTTCTTCCCAGTGTTGCAGGGTATTCGACACAAAACATGGCAGCAGCCTTGTTTCTTGTCTCACATGAAAGAAGAATGTTCATGCGGACAACTCTAGCTTGCACAGTAGGATCTGCTTAGGAAAAGAGGGAAAAGGCGTTGGAGGAGGAGGAGGGGATCCAATGGAGGAAAGACCCAAGGAAATCTAAGAGAAAAAGATCTCCTGCCATAGTGACAGGAGAGAGATCCAGGGAAGGAAAAACCTGAGGAAATTCCAGAGATGGTGTCTCTTACGCACCATCTCAGCAGTCACTCAGAGGGTCAAAAAGGAAAAAAAAAAGTCATTCACAATGGGCAACAATGTAGCACCTTGTTCAAAAACAAAGAATATAGGAAGAGTGGGACTGGTGGCTTCCTCCTCCCATTCTGATAATGCTGAGATGGGAACTGATACTTTGATTCTGCCCTTGGTTCCCCTTCAAGGGGAGAACGTGCTCTTGTGAGAGTAAGAAATGGGGAGGTGCACAATTTTATATTTTAAAAGGTAACTTCACCAGGGACCAGAGACCCTAACTGCCTGCTATTCCTTCTGACTCTTCACACACATGACACATGTTCTGGCTATAGGTAACCAGCGTTATTCATGTTTTTGTTAATGTATAGATACTAAGAACTTAGACTATAAGCATTAGAGGAGTTACAAACCTATTAAAATGTTATATAAAATTATTTCAACTGCAAATATTCTATCTGTATGCAAAAGGCAACTGTTTACATATAATTCTCAAAACAGTCCCAGGAGGTGAATGACCTTAGAGCCCTTATTTTCCATGGAAGGGTCTAAAGTTTAGAGAAGCTTACCAGCAGCCAAAGGTCCCACAGCTGTTGGGTGAAGGATCTGGGATACATACTCTGCTCTGCTTAACACTACATCCTGGAGGGGCTGCTGACAGCTCAGCTAAGTCTTAAAGAATGAGGTGTCCACAGAGTAAGAAAGGACTCTAAGCCAACCCACTCTACCAGAGTGAGGCAGCCCCTGTGCAGTTTGGTCTTCTGCATGTTGCCTGGATAACTCTGTCATTACCACAGGTGTAGGGGAATAGGTTCTGAGACAGGTGTATTCGTCATTCCCTAGCCTCCTTTATAGGCTCTTGTCTGCTCAGGGACTCCTCTGTGGAGCATGGGAGGTTACTCACTGTTTCCCTTATCACAGGAACTCTTCACAGGCAGCTGTCAGGAACTGCATCAACCAAGGTTGAAGTAGAGTTTTCTTTAGCTAAGTCTTAGGATTTTTCTTTGCACTCTAAGTTGCACATCTTATAAGTAACCCCATCTTATTCCTTGTATGTAGTCACAATGCAGCAATGCCCCTCCATTCTGTATTCAAAAAAAAAATAATCTACATCTTGACGTTGCATTAACCAGTCCAGAATCCTAGCCTCGTGGAGCTTTTGGTCCTCCAAATAGGATTCAATTTATTTGCTTGCAAATAGTTTCCATAAATCACATCTGTTTTTAGGACCTCTTCTCAGGAAAGTGCAGAAATCATCAGTCCCTTGCACAGCTCCCACATCCTGAGTCCCTGGGGTACTTCCCAAGGGGATGCAACATGTAACTCTTCACACCTAAGCATAAATCACCATGGCCAAGAAGCAGCCACAATCCAGATATATGAACAAGAAAATGAAATGCTTTTGTGAGGAGTCACTACAATTTAGAGGTTGCTCATTATGTTAATGATTGGAGCAAAAGCAATTACACCATTCTTCATCAGTACCTCTTCAGCAGCAGCCACTCCGTACTTGCCATTACTGTGCCAGGCACTGAGTGGCATGTAAAGTCACCTACAACCCAGGTCCTTTTAAAACCCTTCACTTCGCTCCACCGTATCATGACTCTCCTTTTCTGCTGTCCTTCTCTGATCTTATTTACTCCAAAGTTTCTGTTATTGCCTCTGTCTTACTCTGCAGCATCACAAATTCTCCAATTCACACTTCTATACATCTCAATGCTTTAACACCTGAAACTGAAGAAATATTAATATTTATCTACTTATCTATCTATCTCTATTTATCTATCTAATACATACCCTAAGTCATCTTGTTTTGGTTGGCCATCTCCATTTTCCAAGTTTCAAAAGACTTGATTTATTCTTGAAGTTAAGTAGGAAGGTACTGACAGACCAACTAAAAGCCCATGAGAAGTTGGAAAAATTATTTCATTCACAGTATAGTAAGCAAATTTTATTGA